GGATTGGGCCATGTTTGGTTTGCTGCTCTGGGCCTCATTCCTTCAATTCTTGCTTATTTTGGCTAAGAATGGGTGAGAATGAAGAACATGAGAGCATTTGGATCAAATTTTGATGCCATTTGCCTCATTCTTTTCGAAATGAAAGTTGGTCCATGGCAAAAAAATCTATCTTGTGGCACGATACAAAGTGCTAGAGGATTAGGCCATGTTTGGTTTGCTGCTCTGGGCCTCATTCCTTCAATTCTTGCTTATTTTGGCYAAGAATGGGTGAGAATGAAGAACATGAGAGCATTTGGATCAAATTTTGATGCCATTCGCCTCATTCTTTTCGAAATGAAAGTTGGTCCATGGCAAAAAAATCTATCTTGTGGCACGATACAAAGTGCTTTCTCCCTTCTCTCTCAGATCTCTCAAACTAGGGTTATTTGTAGCAGGTGATTTGTTTGATTTTCTACCATTTTAGGACATAATTGGTGAAGCAGCAACAGACACAGATATCAATTCTGAATTCCAGAACAACTGAACAAGTGCATGCTCCATTAGGCTTCACATGACAAAGATCAATTGGTCTGTGCTTCGTACATGTGGTTTGATCTAAATCCTAACTTGTTGACCTGGAAAGAGCAACTCATGAAACATCGTTGGGATAAGGGTTTGTTGAGTTAAGGTATTGATCTCCTGGCTTGAGATTTGAAGATGTTGCATGGTGTTGAATCTTTGAGCTCTTGGAAGAAGGTATTGATGATGGAGAAGAAGAATCTTTGGTTCGAGGAATGTAAGGGAGGGAAGGTGTTGAAGTTTGAAGAGGTAGGAGATCCACAATTTTTTTGATAATTGAATTGTGATTTTATTATTAATCAAGAAACGATAGATAGTACAAACATCCCAAGGAGAGGCATGAGGTGCAACCTCTCCTTAAAAAGAAAATTACAGAAAAAACAACAGCGAAAAGATTACAAAACAGCCCAATATAAGCTTTCCCTATTGACCCCTTGTTTGGGAAGATGCCAACACATTTTCCGACCTTCCCACCCAATGTAGGCTGATATTCATGTTTCTAGTTAGCCACTTAGCTTTCTTTAGCAGGTCCCTGTAGCACCAAACAATTGAGTCTAAATCTGCCAGCCACCCCACAACAACTTCAGAATCTCCCTAAAGTATTAGGGAGATCCATGATTTTCTTGTCTCAAGATGGCGTAGAGTGGATTAAAGGATTTATGGAGGGAGTAATCTTTGCAGTAACAAGACCTGGGTGGAGGAGTGAGTTGAGAAGAGACAGAAAGTTTTTTTTTTCAATTGAGAAAAAGATCAATAGTAAAGGAAGATATTTGAGACTGGATGAAGAGGAAAAGGAAGGTAGAAGACATGTCATCTGTATGCTAGAAGGATGGGAAAGAAAGGGTTGGGTTGCAGTGGCTGAGGCACTGTTGGAGTTTGAAGAGAGATGCTGGATGAAAAAGGAAAAACTGAAGAGGCTGGGGAAAGAGAAGATGGTACAAGACTTAGAGGGTCAAGAGAAGATGCAGGTAGCAAAGGGGGGAGGTTCTGTTTGTGTTACTGGGATCGTGGTGGGAGGTTGTAAAGGGGATTGGAATATGAAGATGATTGTGGTAGAAAAGAAGAAAGTCTCATATTGGAATAGGATCCTAGCTGATGTTATGAAGAGAGTCCCATTGGAGGAACCGATTGTGCTCATACCTTTCAAATATTGTAAAGCTGTGCTGGATTTAGGGAACTTTAAGGTGGAGGTCTTGAGTGTTGAAGTGGTGGAAGGTGAGGTATCTGTGACAAACTGGACACCATCTTGCAATGAAATATCATTTCGTAAGGGAAGGGAGACCCTGAAGATATTTGGTCTTCTGTTTAATCTTTGGATGGATCACACATTTTTTTTCAGTTAACAGCAGTCTGTGGAGGAGTCCTTGAAGACGTTTACATAGGCGACCTCGATGCAGTAAAGATGAGAATTGCTGGTGCCAATATGGATAGAATTCCTCGCTCAATCAATATCTTCGATGGAGGAAGATGATGGAGGCTTTGAGTGGAGTTGGAAACTGAAGAGTCTCTCTCGTCTGGAAGGAAAGAGGTTGAAGACGATGCTGAGAGGATTTGGTGGAATCCACGTGGCACAATTAAAGTGGAAGGAACGAAGGAAGAGGGAGAGACTGAAGGGGTAGCGGAGTTTAAGTGTTTGAGGCAAAATAAATCACTGGCCATGTTTCCAAAATAGGACCTTATTAGTGTTGAGAACGAGCAAGGGGGGTTTGTAGAAAATGGAATAGAAAGGGAACATGCATCCTAGGAGAAAGGGCATGTACACTTGGCAAGTCCTGATGATGATTGCCCAACACGTGGTGGTAGTGGGGAGCAGGTGGGAAAATTGAAGAAGACAACTCGAGAAGGATATATTCAAATTTAGGATAAGTTTTCAATGATGGGCCCAAGAATCTTGAGTTTATTAATTTTGGGCCGAAGAATGGGCCCAATGACTTTGGAGGGGATGCCCAAGTTTTAACGTGTTATTATTGGAGTAAACAAAATAACAGTTTTAAAATTACTAAGTTGGGTAGCTTGAATGTGATGTAAGGGATGGCAGAAGGTGCTGAAAGATTAGATGATCGAGCAGGTAATGCAGTGGATGAAGAGGGGTCGATAGAGAAGGAGGTCAATGAAGAGGCTATTAGCGATGCAGAAGGATTCATCTGGAGAAAAGCAAAGTTCTTCCCTAGGAAGAAGAATTTATCGATTATATAGAAAATCAATAAGGAAGAAAAGAGCAGGGAATGAGGGAGGACGTGGGAAGGAACAAAGGAAGGAAAGGGGATAATGGTTTAGTGGAGGAGAAGGAAAGGGAGAAAGGAGCAGGGAATGAGGGAGGGGGAAACGAGGGGGTGGGGTCAGAATGTTTAATAGGAAAAGATACAAAACTTTTCCTTTAGAAGGAAACAGAGAAAGGGCACTGAAAGTGGAGTTAGGGGAGGACTTCAGGGAGGTAAGTGAGGACGACATAGTGATAGATGATACACATAAGGTGGAGGTAACTTGTGACATTGGAAGAGTAGTGAACAAGGAAATGGAAAGAAATGGGGAGAAAAATAATAAAGTTGATGCATTGGTTAATTGCAACTCAAGTAATTTCATATTTCAGGGGATGGAAAAGCCTAACAGGCATGGAGGATAACATCAAGGAGTAGGAAGAGGATTTGGAGGGGGTGGTTGTTCCAGATAGGGGTAAAAAATCAGAGGAGAAGATGGAAGAAGCTGTTGGAACTTTAAATACAGTTAGAAGGCTCAAAAGTTAGAAGATTAAGAGAAGCCATCAGCAGTTACCAGTCTCAAAGGTTTTTGCAAGGATAAAGGAGGTATGTTTGGCATTGGACCTAACAAGAAGGTAGGGAAACACAAAAGTGCAGTCAGAAGACAAATCAAAATGATTAAGTTGATTGTTGTTTCGGAGTCCTTTGGGGGTTTTGTTTCTCACTTGGGGTTTAGGGTGGGGTTGGTTTTATTTTGCTTTGGTTTTTGTATGGGTTTTGGATTTTGAGTTTTGTTGTTCTTGTGTTGTTTCTTTTCACTTTGTATGGGTTTGGTTTTTTGAGGGTTGGATTTGTTGGATGGTTTGGCATATTTGGATGTCTTAATCAGTTGTTGGGTGTTTTTCCTGTTCATCTGGGTAATTTCTTATCACCTTGCATCCTGTTTTTTTTGTTTTAATATAATTTTTACTTATCTTCAGAAAAAATGGTAGCCCCTTCTTCAACCTCAAGCTCTCCTTGGAAAGCAATTTATGAGGTATACCCAACTTTTATATACTTTATTAGGCTTGATGTTGGGTGTGGGTTGAGGGTTCTTTTCTAGGAAGATCTATGAATGGTTGACACTCCTCTCACTTCCCTTTTCCCAAGCCTTTGTTTAGTGTTAGACTACAGCATCAACCTATCTTGAGATTTGTCACCTTCTCTCCTTCTGGCTTGAGTTGGGATTTTTGGCTTTAGAAGAGGGTTGGGGGACAACGGGTGTGTGACTCTTATTCTCTTGTTGGATAAACTCAAGTCAGCCTTCTTGATTCAACTATGGTGGACACTAGAGTCTGGTCTTCATCCCTTGATGGTTTCTTTACTTGTGCTTCGTTCTTCAATTCACTCTTGCAACCTTTAACTGTGGGGGAGAATTTCCCGGTAAAAGAGATTTGGAGTGAGTTCTTACCATCTAAAGTTCAAGTGCTGTGTTGGGAGGTTTTTCTTGGGAAGGTGAACATCTGTGACATGCTTCAAAAGAGGATGCCGAATAAATGCCTTTTCCCACATGTGTGCTTTTTCTTTGCTTTGCAAATGGTGAAACCCTATCCCACTTATTAATCTCTTGTCCTTCTGTGCTTTTTATTTGGGAGTCTTTTTGTTCTCTTTTTGGTTGCAGGTGGATATCTCCCCAAGATGTTGTGAGTCTCGTATGTCAAAACTCTTCCTTAGGCAACCAACAAAGAGAGGCAGATAGTCTGGACCATTTGGGAGGAAAGAAATGCAAGAATCTTCACTGAGAGGCATAGGTCAAAGGAGGATTTGGTGGAAATAATAAAAGTAAAAGTTGTGTACTGGATAAAAACTCTAGATTTCTTCCAAAACTTTACAGTGACTGATATATTAAGAGCTTGGAATGAAGTAAGGCTGCAACTTGGGCTTGGTTGATGCTCGGGTTAGGGTTGAAATTCATGAACCCAACCTTACTTCGGGTTGGGTTAGAGTTGACCCCTCATACATTGATTTGTTTATTGTCGTTTTGGTTTTGCTAGCTGGTTATGTTGGTTGTGTTGTTCAGTTGATCCTTGTTGGTTTGGATTTTGTCCTGACTTTGTGGGTTCTCCTTTCTTATCCCCCAAATAAGTACCTTAAAAATTTGATTTGAGAATTTTTGTTATTTAATATAAGATTTTGACCACTGGTGTTTCCAGTGATTTTATCTATTAACTGTATTGTGAAACATTTCCATGCTTGTGGTTGCAGGGCCCAGGACCCGATGCTCGTATAGTTTATATAGATGGTGCATTTGATCTTTTTCATGCAGGACATGTAGAGGTATACCCAATTCCCACTTGGTTGTATGGCTGATACACTAGAAGATGAATGGTCAGTCTGAAAGTCTATTGTCATTAATGTTTAAGCCTGATAAATTAATAAAAGTTATCCTAATTATAATAATAGTCTATACCCAATTCCTACTTATTGTTATCAAGCTATTTGCCTATATGATCTTGGTAAACATTTTTCTCTATGTTGCATGCATTTGAGCTTAATTTTGTTTACTGTTGGCTTTTTTCCTTTTTCTTTAGTTCCATGTAAAATATAAGCCCTTAAGTCTTTTTGAGATATTAAGTTTTATGATATACTAGATGCATGCATATATATGTAATTTTTATCATTTATAATAGAAAAGGAGATGATAATCACAAGATATATATGTAATTTTCTTGATTTTCTTTTCTCTTTCTGATTCAACTAGTAAATTATTTATTTTTTCTTGTTTGTCACAAACAAGTTGTCAGAGCAGGATCTAGAGAATTTTGTGTAGAGCACATGCAAGTCTAGGATTCATGTAGCTGACCCCTATTGGTAGAGATAAGGCTTAGATGATGATGATGACCCTACTTTTGTTCCTACTACAGCTCAAAGTCCACAAATAGAGTTACAAGTGTATCAAGGACTAAGGTTGAAGTTGATTATTAGCCACTTCCAATCACCATTGGTTACTAGGTGCAGATACATCTTTTACCCCAGTCCATTGATTTCAATGACCTTGACCTTTCTGTCTTCTTGAGAAAAGGTAAGTGGAATTCATCTATTGCACACTGCGTCTTTTAACACCTATCTTATGATTATTCATTTCCTTCCTATATATCTTTCCTTGCATCCTTTTCCTCTGAGCTTATTTCTAGGATAGTGTTAGAATCACCATCCAAACCTCAGTGAAATGTAGCTACGCAGACTGATATGCCTTGGTAAGAATCAGACTTGAGGTTTTGTAGATTTGTCAAGTGGGAAAGAACTGGTTGAATGCAAGTGCATATTTGCTATTAAATACATGGTAGATCTCTATTCATATGTACTAGGCACAACTGGTATTTGTTAGCAAAGGGCTATAAGCAGATGCATGGCGCTTGCACCAGTGGAAAAAATGAAATTAATCAAAGTTACTTTCTCTCTAATCATCTTATGATTGTCCGTTATATCAATTTGATGTGAAAAGTGCATTCTTGAATGGGGACTTGTATGAAGAAGTCTATATGACTATGACCTGGATTTTATAATGAAATTGGTTTATGGAAAGGCTGCAGGATGAAAAGGTCCATGTATTGATTGAAATAATCTCCCAACAGCCTGGTTTTGATAGATTTCACGGAACCTTGTGAGAATTGTTTTTCTCTTAGGCATAATTTGATCATGCATATTTTTTTTTTTGATCAGCAAAGAAGATTTTATTAAATCATCATCATCATCATCCTTGCCTTGCACAACTTTATGGGGTTGGCTACATGAATCCTGTTTTGCCAATCTGTTCTATTTAAAACCGTATCCACTGTTAAATTATTAGTGCTTAAATCATTTCTTACTACTTCTACCCACGGCCTTTTTGGTCTACCCCTAGCTCTAGCTTTTTTGTAACAAATCACTTCTTCTAATTGGCGCTGTTGGTGGTCTTCTATGCATGTGACCAAACCATCTTAGCTCACTCTCTCATTTTATCACTTATTGGAGCTACACCTAGGTTTCTATGGATGACTTCATTCTTGATCCTATCCTTTCTAGTTTTTCCCCTCATCCATCTCAGTATTCACATTTCTGCAATACTCATTTTCTGAACATGTTGTTTCTTGACTGCCCAACATTTTGGTCCATCCAACATACCTGGAAAGAAGATTTTATTATATATTCAAGTTAAAGAAACATTTGTTGCCTATTATGGGAGCATTCAGCCATCCCATAATACAAAAATGTTACATTTTTGCCCAAAACATTTGTTGCCTATTAAACCCTTGTTTTGGTGGAGCATCCACCCTCCCATTCATAATTTTTCTACCCACTTAGATGCAATGCTTAGCTCCCTTGATAGGCTTTCAATTTCCCTAAATGTATGCCTATAGATGCAAAGAATTTGATTATTGGCTTATTGCATCTTGTCCAGGAAATAACCACTTGGGACTCCTCTTCCTCCAATTGCTGGAACCCAAACTGCTTTGCAAACCATAGCCCATGCCCATGCAGTAGTGCCATCAATTCAGCTGTCAGTGATTCACCTCATTCTATAGGGTCCAAATACAAAGCCAACGCCTTGCCAGATGAGCCCCGAAATACACATCCTATTACCCACCATCCTTTGAATACCTAAAGACCTCCCATCAAAATTTAGTTTTACAAAGTTTGTTTGTTTTTTTATCAGTAATCAATATGCATTTCATTAGAAATGAAGTTTAAGTACAGATTTAAGACAGTTTAGGACATATGAGAGCCAGAGCTTATTACAAATTACAAAGTTAACCCAAATCAGCCCAAAAGAGTTGGTCCCTATACACCCCTTGTTTTGCCAAAGTATCAGCCATCCCATTTTCTATTCTCTTAACCCAGTTGAAGCTTGCCTCAAGATACTTTGCCAAACTCTTTATTTCTCTGATTAGCTATCTAAACTTCCACAGACCTGGACTGCTGTCATTCATCCAAGAAATTACTAGTTTTGAATTACCTTCTTTCTCCAGATTCCTAAACCCTCACTGCTTTTCTAGTTTCAGACCTTGATATAAATTGTAAAGCTGTTATTTCTTCTCTTATAGAGTCCCCATCTCCTATCGGCCCTGAGAACACGATTACTGCTTTCCCTGCATCACCCCTGAACACTCCTCCAATTCCTAATAGCCGGAGATATCCTAGAGAGCTTTTATCAAGGTTAAACTTTATTCTGTTTGGCTGAAGAGGCTTCCAGTGCAAAACTACTTTGTCTTTCATAGTAGCTGAATTTGCTAATTCATACTAAACTCTGATAATGACATCCACTGAAACCGGTTTGAAAGCTTCTAAGGATTCTACCCAGTTTGCCGTTTGATCTTTATGCCTTAAACAATATCCTCTGTTCTCCTTTACTTTTTTTTTGAACAGTCTTTCATTTATTTCTTCCTAGATTGTCCAGATAGTTGCTGCCTTAGCTGTCTTCCATAATAATCTTCCTCTCTTTTTTGCTTGCCTAAAGAAACTTGGGCTGAACAAAGTAGTACAGTCCTGTGGGGGGTCCCACTTGCAGCCAAAGAGAGAAGAGATGGACAACCGAACACAATTTGCAAACGAGCAAAATAAGTAAGTGGTTGTTTCACCATTTTCCTTACATAAGATACACATATGAGGGGGCAGACATTTGTTTGGCCTTCTTCTTTGAAGCACATAACAGGTATTTATCTTTCCTTGGAAAAATTCCCAGCAGAAGGCTTGGACTTTTGGAGGAATAGGCTTGCTCCAAATCTCTTCCGAAGGAAAAAAATCCTCCCCCTAACTCCAAGGAAACTAGTGAGACAAAGAAAGAAGCATATGAGAATGACCCGGATGGTGTAGTATCCAGATTCTATTGTCATTCCACCCTTGAATCCAGGAAGACTGACCGTAATTTATCTTTCAAATATATCGCAAGCTCACATTCTTTATCCCTTAAGCCCCTTCCAAGACCAAAGTCCCAGTTGAAACCTAAAGAGGAGAGGCTCTAGAAACAATCAGTAGGCTTCTTTTGAAGTCTAGAAAGAGAAAAGAGCAAAGGGAGTTGAGATTTTAAGGGGTACCTCCCAACCAAATATCTTCCAAAAAATGGATTTATTGCCATTTCTCACATTAAATTTTGTGAAACTTAGGAAGGTAGGAAGTACCTTGTTAATGGCTTTCCAAGGAAAAGGGGCTGAAGAAAGAGGCTACACCTTTGCATTGCATCCATTGCCTGAAGCACCATGATTGCTTACTATGACTTTGTGCCACAAACTCTCATTCTCTCGAGGCAAGTCACAAGTGCCATGACCATTTTCCAAGTAGAGCATTGTTCCTATGCTTACTATGACCTCGTTAATGGCTTTCCAATGAAAAGGGGCTGAAGAAAGAGGCTAGACCTTTGCATTGCATCCATTGCCTGAAGCACCATGATTGCTTACTATGACTTTGTGCCACAAACTCTCATTCTCTTGAGGCAAGTCACAAGTGCCATGACCATTTTCCAAGTAGAGCATTGTTCCTGTGTATCAAATTTCCTAAACGTAATCCCCCTTGGCTCTTTGGTCTACACACTTTCCCACTTCACTAAGTGATCTTTCCTTTCTTCCCTCGGTTCCCAAATGAAATCTCTCATGATTTTCTCTAGCTTCCTTGCTACTTTGGTTGGGATTTGGAAAGTGGAAAGAAAATAGGTTGGAAGATTTTCCAGAATCTATTTAATCAAAATAATCCTTCCCCCTAAAGAAATATAACTTCTCTTCCAAACTGCAAGCTTCTTTGCAAATTTCTCCAAAACCGGTTTTCAAAAAATTCAGAATTTGGGTTTCCACTTAGGGGTAAATCTAAATAGGTTGAGGGCCAAGAATCTAATTGACACCCCAAACATTCAGCCAGTGCTTCTACCTCCTCTTGTGAATTTATCCCAACCAAAAACTCTTCCCCAAGTTTAAATTCCTCCACTAATTGTCAATTCCTTCCTCACAGAAAATGATAATATCATCTGTAAAGAGTTGTCACAATCACTTCCTGCCTCCCTACTCTTCATCCCCTTAGGAAATTACTTTCATCTGCCTTTGTTATCATTCAACTTAACACATCAACCTCCATAATGAAGAGCATAGGAGAGAGGGGGTCCCCTTGCCTCGGACCCCTCTTTGTTGGAAAGAAGTCTCTTGACAGTCCATTAATCAGAGTCGAATAATGGCAATAATTGATGCAGCCTCTGTTTAATTTTCATCTTCTATCTCCAAAAATCAATTTCTCCATAATCTCCAAAACAATGGAGTAGGAGAAAAAACAGGTGAAAGGGAGAGCGGAAGGAAACTTCCTGCTCAACACTTTCA